TCGTGTTGAACAGTCAAATCCTGTTGAGATTGTTGATAATGTTAACAAGGTTTAGTTGAGTGGTTCTACCACATGTAGTATGAGGACTGGCAGTGAACACCATGAACTGGCTGATCATAGCAGTCAACATGGTCAATTCATGAACTCGGTTGTCGCTAATATAGTGCTTGATAATAAAGAGGAACATGCATTGTCTGATAGCAGCTCTTCCTCTTCAGTAGCTAAGATTAGCCACTGGTGAAAATACTTCAAGAGATATTATAAATAAAGTTTTTTTCCTACACAACATCATATTGATATAAAGTATAATACCCCAGATCATATGAATCAGCACCAATGTTAACAAGGAGTAAATGTGGGGTATTCAAACCAAAGGTATATACAAGTTACTTTGATAACAAAGTGCCAACCAATGTTCATGAAGCAATGCAATCTCCTAACTGTAAGGTAGTTATGTAAGCAGAATTTGATGCCTTGCAAAAGAATCATACTTGATAGTTGGGCAAACTGCCTATAGAAAGGCATGTTGTGGGTTGTAAATGGTTATTCAATCTTAAGCATAATCTGGATGGGTCTGTTATATGATACAAGGCTCGGCTTGTGGCTAGGGGTACCCCCAAGTGCCTGGTCAAGGCGTTGGTGATACATTCAACCTAGTTGTTATGTTCTTCACCCTCAATGTCATAATTTCCTTTTCTGTTATGAAGAACTGGTCACTCAGGCAAGTGGACGTTAACAACACCTTCCTCAATGGTGAATTGAGTGAAGAGGTGTTCATGCAACAACCACTTGGGTATGAACAATGTGCAACTGATGGCACCAAGCTTGTCTGTAAGAAAAAGGCTTTATATGGTCTTAGATAGACCCCTCAAAACTGGTATACTAAGCTCAAGACGAGTGTGTTGCAGTTAGGTTTTGAAGAATCAGGGTTGATTTGTCCTTGTTTATGAAGAAGGTGAATACATACATGTTGGTATACGATTATGATATCATTATTACGGGTCATTTTGATATTGAAATAAAAAAGTGGTGCATTTGCTTAGTGAGCAGTTCTCTCTCAAGGACCTTGGAGAGTTGAACTATTTCTTAGGCATTCAGGTTAAGAGGAGTGATGATGTTGTTACTCTTAATCAGAACAAATATTTGTTGGAGTTATTGACTAAATCAAACAAGCAAAGGTCTACATCTGTCACTACTCCAATGGTTGCAAGCATGAAGTTAACTAATACAGCAGGTAAACTGTTACAGGATCCACATGAATATCAAAGTATTGTGAGAATTTTGTTGTATATGTGTCACACTCGACCAGATATTACATTTAGTGTGAACAAAGTGGCTCAGTTTATGCATGCTCCCTACTAGCTACACTATGTATCTATGAAGCGTATTTTGAGATATCTAGCTGGAACGATAGACTATGGACTAAAATTTTCCCAGTCAAAGTCATGCTTGACTTTGACAGCCTTTGCTGATGTTGATTGGGCAGGCAGCGTTGAAGATCGTAGGTCTATCTCTAGACATGGAGTGTTTGTTGGATCTTGTCTTGTTGCATGGGCATCCAAGAAACATAAGGTTGTGTCTCAATCAACCATGGAGGTAGAGCATAGTAGCGTTGCTGATGTTGCAGCTGAGGTGACCTGGGTTGATGGTTGCTTGTTGATCTAGGAGTGAAGTCATGCATCGTTCCAATTGTTCAGTATGACAGTATAAGAGCCACAACTATGGCTGCGAATTTAGTCTACCATGCTCACACCAAGAATGTGGACCTGGACATCAACTTTGTGTGTGAGAAGGTGGCAGCTGATGTGCTTCGCGTGAATTATGTGTCTACTCAACTTCACCTTGTTGATGGACTGACCAAGCCACTAGCCAAAGTTGCATTTGAAGTCTTTCTAAATAAGATCTATGAGAAAATGTGTTAGTTGTAAAAAAAAGTAGGGAGAATGTTAACTGCTTGTGATCGTTGATAGAAATATTTGATGAAGCTTGCTTTGTGTTTACTATTCAGGTTAAACTCTTCCTCTAAAAAATTTCAACATATTTTGACTCTTAACGTTTCATTTTAGGACAACAAAATCTCATACTATTTAATTAAATTGTAACTTTAACCCTTATTATTTTTTAATCATGTTAGATCCTAACGTTCCATCTTAATTTCCTAATTTCCCGGTAAGGGTTATTATAATATTGGGTGTTGGATTTAGATCTTGCGACGCCTATAAAATATACTTAAAAACGAGTAAAAGATGTATTATGATAGATTTCCAGTAACCGCCAGAGACAAAAAAACATGATCTACTTTGGACATAAGTGTGGGGGCATGATGTTTTAGCCTTGTGTTCAATACCCCGATTTCTTAGTTTCCATGTCCTTAACCAAAGGCATCTATGTCTATTAGGGATGACAAACGGACTGGTCGAGTGCGGATACCCCTCCCTATTCCTATACCCACCTAATATTTTTCAATCCACCACCCATGATGGGTAAAAAATTTCAAATCCACACCCGCTCACCCGGGTAAATTCTCAAAACCATCCCTACACCTACTACCCAACTGGAGACGTACTCGGTTAGACCCGTCTGATAGCTAGGGGTGTGCAAAAAATCTGATCTGACCGATCTGATCCATTGACCCGTTGATCCGATCCAAAAATTCGGATATCTGATCCGTTTTTCAATTTTCAGATAGTTCAGGTCGGGTATCTGAAATTTTTTCTGGATTATCAGATCGGATACGGATCGATAAAAACCATGTTTGGATTATCCAAAAACCTGCAAAAAAATTGGGCTATATTCGAAGACCTGAGGAGGTTTTCGCATAAGACGTGGGCACGGCTTATTCATCCTGAGCTATCGCAGAAGATGTTTGCAGTTAAGGCATGGGCACGCCTTACTAGTCCGTACAACCCTAAATTGAGACTTATTGTATACAACGCCATCATCTATAAACTTCAAAACCTCCGTTGTTTTTGTGGATTTCATGTCTCAAACATCTCCGTTTATAGACCACTAACCACACTACCATATTAAGCTAAATCATCTACCAGTAGTCATTATCTGTCCTAATCATCTTCCTATATAAGCCCAAAACTTAACAAACCATCAGCGATAAGAATTACAAATACTGGATAGACACCTAAACAAATCCATTATTTGAGTTGTAAAAATATTATGGACACAACTTTCTCTGAGTTATTTAATAAGTGACTCTTTGTTTGTTGTTGCACCTGTTTCTAATTATAATAAAGTTTAACCTACCCAAAATTAAAACATAATTTCATCTTTTTCCCCACACCAGCAACAAAAAAGCTTATATGAATCTAAGCAAATGATCTAGGATGCGTACAATATAGCCCAGTGTTTGGATCTTTAGCTTTGCATTATCTCAATCCAGAAAAAGAAGATCAAATCTAAGTTGTATTGGTTTTGGTCTTTTTTTAAGATGTTTTTGTTTTTCAATGCATGATTATACAAATTATAATGTATAAATTATTCATAATTTTCAAAATCAACAGAATGTATGAATGCACTTAAATTCAGAAGAATACCAAAATCGATAATTCAATATATGTACATATAATGTGTTTTTTAAAAATCAAAATCAATATATGAATGCTCTTAGATTCAGCAGAATATCAAAATCAAAATAACGAAATATTGATTATTGGCCTTGTATCTTGAACAAAACTAAGAGGATTGGATATGAAAATCGAAGTATCACCTTACGACAAATTAAAACGGCCACAAACAACTTCAATGCAGCAAACAAGATTGGGGAAGGTGGTTTTGGATATGTGTATAAGGTGAAATACAACTCTACTACCCGCAGAGGAGACCAGAGTAAAAAAGAGGAAAAATACGTACCTGAATGAGCTGGAGACCGGAGTTTGAAACTTAGAGAAGAATAATTACCAGAATATCGGCGCAATAACCAACAAGTAAAGCACGAGAGGTTTGAAAGGAAAAATTGATTCATAAAATTATCCCTAATATTTGGTTAAATTATAAGTTATATCTTATACAATATTAAGATTTATAAATTAGTCTCTAAATTATACCTATATTCATAATAATCCAAAATTTAATAGATATTTAGTGGGCGGGCGGATGCGGGGTGGGTAAGGTCTCAAACCCATCACCCGCCCACTACCCGCGACGGGTACTACTTTCTAAATCCACCCGGCCACTACCCACTAAAATTATACACATCTCCGCTCCAATTAAAACGAGTATGATATAAATATACGAAATTATACCCGTTTATATCCCTAATGTTTATTGACATGTAGAAACGAAGAGATTAATTTCTAAGCAAAAGCGTCGGATGAAAATGATAGGCAAAGCGATAAAGCAAAGGGATGATGCCGGCCTCGAGATATTTCTGTATAGGGAAATAAAAAAAGGCGAATCCTAAGTTTGACTGACCATAAAAAGAAAACCTATAGGCATAGGAGAATTGGACACGATGATGGAGATCATCATGGAAGGGATATGAATAAAGAAATTTGACATGTAGGTATTGAGGGTTATGGGAAAAAGTGTGTTTTGGAGGAGTAAGAAAGGGGGCCCATGTGTCACCATTTGAAGCAACATCATCCGCTGGTGGGGGACATTGCCTTTTGCTTTGCTTTGGTTTGTTTGTTTGTTTATTACTCTTCTTTTTTGCCTTTGCTTTTGCCTTTGCTTTTGCCTTGTCAGTTCCTTCTCTCTTGCAAATTTGACGTTAACTGTCCGGTTTTATTTTAAGGAGAGACAAGACACGTGGAAAATTAGAGATTTTGATTAAAAGAAGAAAAGCATCACAAAAAATAAAGCTGCAGTGCAAATGATCGATTAATAAATAAGCAATCCCTCAATCACAATCCTAAATCCTAATTTGACAAGAATCTTCCAAAACATGATCAAAGATTATGGCGAGACACGTGTAGTCGGCTGCCCTGACAACATATCAGCCCAACCAGAGGCAAGAATACAAAAGATTTGTCTCCTATGCTTCTCTCAACAAAATTTCCTACTCTTTGTATTGTTTCTGGTGATATTTTTTGTTTATTTAAACCCAGTGTGGCGGCTCATTTGTCTTCATGTCTCAAAATGGGTCGGGCAAGGGCTACCAGTTCTTCGTCTTCCAGCTACAGTACCAACCACTTTCCTTTCTCAAGCACCGCTTCTTCTTCTTCTTCTTCCTCCTCCCAGAGGGACCTCAGCACAAATCTTCACCTTGGTCTTAGCATTTCGATTAGCCCTCCTTATGCAAGGTATTTATCTGGTCTTTCGAATGTAATAGATGCTATTGCTATTAGAGTCAATAAGATACTGCAGGACTAATGAAGAATCTGGTGTATCCTAAATCAGAGAACCGATGAAGGCAGTTGTAGAAGAAGAATACGAGTGCAACAGCTCAACATTTTTTGTCAAGGTTTACATGGAAGGGATTCCTATTGGTAGAAAACTAGACCTGATGGCTCACGAGAGTTACTATGATCTGATAAGGGCTCTGGAGAACATGTTCCATACAAACATTATATGTAAGATTCAGTTTAATTCCCTTCGTTTATTAATTGAGATTTTAATGTTTCCGAGCAGAAATGGGGAATTATGAATGACAGGGGCAGAGGCAGAGGTGGATGGAGATGAGTATGTGAAATGTCATGTGTTAACGTATGAAGACAAGGAAGGGGATTGGATGATGGTTGGTGATGTTCCTTGGGAGTAAGTTATCAAACTTCTCTGCGTTTGTAAATTTCAGAATATTAGCAGAGCTGAAATCTGATCTTCTAATGAATGTTGTGTATAGGATGTTCTTGTCAGCTGTGAGAAGATTGAAGATCAGCAAGTGCTGAAGCAAAATACAAAGTATTTGGTTTTAAAAGTAGATATCTTGCTGTGTTCTTGTCGAGTGCAAATTAAAGGAATAGGTAGGCGGGAAAAATGGGATAAGTTTAGGATCTCAAGTGTACATTCCCAATACTGAAATGATAAGAGTAACAAAGCATCAGTTCTGTCTTTGAGCACTATCATAAATTCAATGGAGAGTTTGCTGAACTCTGGGATTTAATCCTTAAAATGAATTTTTAGCTAAGGTCACTACTTTTTTATGAAATAGTTTGTAGTTCAGATTTTGGAGGGATATAGAGATAGGTTTTGATTCGATATCAACATCTTTAAAATTAAATTAATAATCTTTAAAATATTTTTGAGAATAAATACATATATATCAATAAAATAAATTTTTTATACAAGTTACAAGTATAAATAAAATTTTAAAATAGATACAATAAATAATTATCTAAAAATATCGAATTTTAAAATAACATGTTCCAACTCTCCATTTAATAAATCTGCCACCACTATAACAACATAATTTCAACCTTAATTTTTAGATTACTTTAAGTATTTGAGGCGAATTTAACTTATATAATGTTAACATACTGTCTATGACTATTTTATAAAATAGATATTTTAAATTTTATTTTTAAAATAAAATATATCCATTATATTTAGAGGTGTTCAAATGGTCGGTTTGGCTATTGAATCGACCAAATATCCATATGAATTAATTGAATTTTTCTTTAAAGTTAATCAAATTATATTTTTCAAAAATCATTAACCGGATCGAATTCGGTTAGTGGCTGAATTCACCGAATTTTTTTAAATTTCATTAAAAATTAGAATAATTTGATTTTAATAGAGATATTTTTTGAGTTAAATCTAAGGGTAAACTATATGAATGATCATCCAACTATGGAGTTGGTGCCAATATGACCACCATTTTCAAAATTGAGTCAATATGATCAATTAACTATTTAATTGATTCCAATATAGCCACATGACGTTAACATTACACGAAAGGGCTTACGTTACAGTTAACAAAATTGGTATAATTATATATTTGATCCTAAATAATTGTACATTCAATCAATTTGGTGCTAATTTTAATTTTGTTTAATAAATTAACCATCCAATTAGGAGATGACATGTATCAACATATGATCATGACACATGTCAATTATGATTCGGATTTTTTAATTTAGTTAATTATATTTATTTTTTATCCAATCAAATGGTGACACGTGTGTCACCTCCCGATTAGATAGAAAATAAATCAAAGATAACTTGTATTGGGGTTTAAACCTTGGTCACTTGGCTGAAAAAAGAACACTTAAGCCACTCAACCAAACACTTCATTTGGTTAAGTATTACAACAAATTGTATGTATCTTATAATATTATTAATGATGCAAAAATAAAGAAATAAAATCATTTAAATGAGGATTAGAACTTAGACAAATTATAAAATGGGTAAATTATATGAATGATCACTCAACAATCGTTGGAGTCAATATGATCACCATTCCCAAATTTGAGTTAATATGACCACTTAATTATTTAATTGTTTCCAATATAGCCATATTCCCTTAACATTTATCGAAAGTACTTACGTGGCTGTCACACCCAAATTAGGGCCTAAAATTTTCTTACAAATCTTTCGAGGACTAAATTGAAATTTTAACTAAATTTGGGGGCCAAAGTGAAATTTTGATTAAATTTGAATTTAAATTCAGAAAGTATAAAAAATTAGAGGACCTAGAGTATAATTTTACCATTTTCCTTTTTAGGGAATATATAACCCCAAATCTAAAAAGCTTTCTCATTTGAAAACCACATTTTCTCTCTCTTCAAGCTTTTCTCTTTTAGCAATAAACTTAATCGTCGTTTCGTCGCGACCGCTGCTCTGCTTTCGACACCTCCCATATCAATATGTTTCTTGCGTCGTTCCGAGTCAACCAGTGTCCATTTGTCTTCGTTACCACCAGCGTGTGAGGGGGTAAGAAAGGCCAAGTTTCTGACGTTTCAAAATCGAGCTCTCCGCTGTTCACCGTTGTGAACCGAGCTTGGTAAGTGTCTCACAACCCCTTAAAACATATGTAATATTTTTTTTGGAATTTTTCCGACCCCTAGAAGTAGGGGTGTGCAAATCTGGGTACCCGGAACATCCAGGTCGGTGATTTCTCGGCCCGGGTCCCGACCTGGATTTTTCGAGTACCTGATACCCTATTTTTTAATTTTCAAATTATTAATTTAAAAAAATATACACAAATTTAAATGTTCGAAACTTCGAATTACATAATCCAACATCCGAACATAAAATTTAAAAGTTCGAAATACAAAATCAAATAATCCATAATATAAAATATATATATATAAAATAAAAACTAACTAAGTACTCGGGTAACCGGGTACCCGGAAAAACACAATTTTGTGATCCGGGCCCGACCTAGGAAATGTCGGGCCAGGTACCAGACTCAGTCGAGTAATTTTTTTAGAAAATTACCTGGTTTTTTAATGTTGTATCAACGGGTCAGGTCAACCGGGTCGGTATTTTTGCACACACCTACCTAGAAGCCCTGCACGTGCCCGCACGAGTCGCCCTTGCGTGTGGGAAAGTCCCATTACCTGGTGGGTTGTTTGAATTTGGGCCGACCTGACCCGCCAGCCCGACCCGACCCGTGTCTTACCTGATCTGACCCGACCTAAACCGAATTGGTCAACCGTTGACCATTGACCGGTGTTGACTTTTTTTCGAAAACCTCAATCCTGATGTTTTTCGACGTCCTGAGTCCAATTCCATGACATGTTTTGCCAAATTCTGACCCGAAAGCCTGAATCGAGCCCGTTAATCCAAATATGCTTAGTATTTTTAGCATTTTTGCTTATTTATTTCAAATTTGATTATAGAATTGATTCGAGAATATTTTTTTTGAATGCAATCGTATTTCACCCGACCGAGGATCGGTTAGATCCGGTGTTTATCGTCCGTTAGATCCGCACGATCCACGCTACTCGAGAGTTTCTTATAGGTATCTATAAATTGTTTAAATATGTGTTATTATTATTATTATTATTATTATTCCGATATGAATTATTCCGATATGAATTATTCTGATTTGTAGGATCTAGCAATGCCGCTGATTGTGATCGACAGACTCATTAATAGACTTTCTTATTAGACGACTCAATCCGATACATGTGTGTTTCCTGATGGTGTTACATTACTTTATTAAATTGTTCATCTGAACTGTTTTAGATTTATGATAATACTGAATATTTTTATGACACGATACCTGATTTTCTGAATAATGTTTATTTAATATATGATTTACTGTATATTTCTGACATGATCTCTGATTTTTGTATTTTTTTGTATCCGATTTCTGAGTCTAGAAAATTTTCATGTTTTACTAAATTAAACTGCCATTTTCACTTGAATACATACATGTTTATTATTGTCATTGGGGGTATTATTGGAGGAAGTATCTCAGGCCTAGTTTATGACTTGTAAATCCTTACCGCAGGCTCCTCAGCTTTGTGCTCAAGGTAAGTCCTTACCGCATGTTCTTATGTTATGTGTATAAGGCCCTTACCGGGTGTACAGGTGGTTGAATGGTTCTGGGGAATCTATACATTCTGGTGATCGGATGGGGGTAATGTTCATATTTTTAAAACATGTTTGATAAACTAATTTTACTGAAATATTATATATATATGTTTTTATACACAGTAAGGAGCACACTATGCGTTTTACCTCATTATGTAAATTTTAACATTTTCAGATAGTAGCAGACTTGGCATCAGGAGGACCGACTACTCTTATATTTGTACCACTGTATATCTCTATATATCTTTTTTTATACTTTGGCGACATTTTTTTGCTACTGTCTTGATATATTTGTATTACCGATATTTTGCTACGAATATGTTTTAAATGATTTTTCTGATACATATATATTGATATATAGACGTTTATTGTATAAACATTTCTTATGACTAATTTCATATTATACTATTATATGAATTTTAACGTTGTTTTAAATATAAAAAGAAATTTCTGAATAAGATATGTAACCGCCTAGATTTAGGCATAACATCCTGGTTGGGTCTAAGAGGTTACACTTGGCGGTATCATAGCCTTTTGTTCTAAACACTCTTACTGTGGATGAGTCCTAAATTATGGATTTTTAAGATCTTTTGATGTTTTCAAAAAATATGTCACTTTATTTTACGAGTTTTAAATATATTTGAGATTCTTGATGCTAGCCTAACTTAGGTTCAAATTCTTTTTGTAGAGCCTTGCAGATTTATCCGATGAGTGCTGCTAGAGGTCGTAGGCCAGGTCGTGGCCGTGGGTGAGGGTAAGCGACTCGATCTTCTGTTAGGATAGATGATCCGATGTCACCTCGAGATCCTCTTGTTCCACATATAGATCTGTTTATTTCTTGAGATAATTCGACTACACCTGTGAGAGACCCTCCTGTCACTGAGGACGAGAACACTGATAGATGAGGACGCCATTAATAGAGTTGTCTTTCGCATGTTTAGGAGAGCTGCTAGAGTCCCTGGAAATATGTCTGCGGTCGAGATTTCGAAGTCTTTGGTAGATGTTGGAGTAGTTCCGTTCTAGGGCATTACTGATGAACCTCCGAATGACGCTGAGTATTGATTGGAGGATACAGAGAGGATTATGGATGAGATGGATCTAAATTCTAAGAAAAAGTTAAAGGGGGTATGCTGAAGAAAGAAAGTTTTAGGTGGTGATAATCGATTTTCGGTTTTATTCCAGGAAATCAGTTGACTTGGGATCTTTTCAAGGCAGATTTTTGGAGTCATTACATCAGAGAGAGATACTTGCAGGAACGACACCAGAAGTTTCAGAATTTGGAGCAGGGTGATATATTTGTTATAGATTATGAGATTGAGTTTATCAGGCTGAGCCGATATGCTACTAGACTTTCTGAAACTGAATGGATCAATGCTTGAGGTTCAAGAATGGACTCAAGTATGAGATTAGGAGTCGAGTTACTACCCACCGGGAGAGGAACTTTAGTGCCTTGGTTGAGATAGCCAAGACTG